AAAAAAAAAAAAAAAAAAAAAAAAAAACCAAACAGGAAAGGTCATCAACTTTTAGGTTAATGATATAAAATAATCAAACACATTGACTCAACATTATTTTTTAATTTTTTGCTTGCTTTTTTGTTGTTGTTGGTTTGGTTTAGTTTGAGAGAGGGTTCCTCTGTGTAACATCCCTGGCTATCCTGGAACTCACTTTGTAGTCCAGGCTGGCCTTGAACTCAAGAGATCCACCTGCCTCTGCCTCCTGAGTGCTGGGATTATAGGCGTGTGCCACTGTGCCTCGATTTTGTTTGCTTTTGAGACAGGGTTTCAATACAGGTAGCTCAAATTGGTCTTGAACTTACTGTGCAGCACTCTTTTTTTTTTTTTTTAACCTTTGTCATTGAGGCTATCAGAGGGAAAAAATAATTCTATATTTCAAAGACTCAGCAGCCACTGTGGCCTGTACCTGTGAATGGGACGTAGGACCCTGGGCTGAATCCTATTTCTGTTGGGGAGGGGTCAATCCAGAGCATCTGGGTCATGCAGACTTGGCCTCAGCCAGGTTTGGGGTAGGGTAGTCCAGCCCCTAGAAGACTTAGGATGGCAGGGCTGAACTGAGAGCAGAGTCTAACCACCCCAGTGTGTAGACCTGTGATCTCCCTCAAATGCATTCCTAGGGGCAGGTTCCCTACTGCCAAATCCTAGCAGGGGAAGATAGCTGGGCAGCGGTTCTCAACATTCCTAATGCTGGGACCCTTTAATACAGTTCCTCATGTTGTGGGTCATTATCCACAGGCTGAAAACTGCTGCCATAGGCTTTCTTCAGTCCTATCATGGGGGGGGGGGTGTCATGAAGAAAATAAGTCAGCCAATGAGAGACAAGCCCCACCACAGTACCAATCAAAAAGCTGGCAGAAGAGCCTGGGCAGGATTAACCTGGAAACTGGACTTGTGGGGTAATGGTGAAGAACCTGTTGGGAAATACTTCACCATGAGGACCATCCTATGCAAACTGGAACTTACTGGATGTATGACAGCAGAGCTTTGCTCTATTCATCAGCAGAGGGTAGGAGCTGGGCCGTGACTGCCCCATGACAGACACTTCATCTGATCTGGACATGGTTGGGCTGTGACTGTGTGGGGAGCCGTCAGTCTGTGCCCTCCTCAAGTCCCCCCACCCCAAGGGCCTCCTTCCATAGACGGGGCAGGAATAGAAGCTGCAAGAGAGCTGAGGGCACCCTCATCTTTTATTTCCCCTGGCTATGCACAAGACCAATGGACTTAGGTTTTATGTTGGTGTAGTTTGAGCAGGGTCTCACTATGTAGTCCTGGCTGACCCTGAACTCAGAGATCTGCCTGCCTATTTCTCTTGGGTGCCGCAGGCCTGAACTCTCAAATGGCCTTTCTGTTCAAGGGTGAGCCTTGGAGAACTGCTATTGGGAGTCCTTTGACTCCTCTCCCTTGCTCTGAGCCCTGATTGCTACATCTGTAAAGTGAGAATCAGCCCATGGTACCATGAGGGTCATGTCACATGGAAGGAGTGACCATTTCTTCTACACAGAGTGCACGGTGATGCTGTGGTGCTGATGACTTCAGGGGTCTATAGACAGAATGACTGAGGTCAGAGGGCACAAAACTAAATGAATTTTGTTTCTGCTCAGAAACCTTGGGTGGCCCCATATGCCCTGCTGGAAAAGAGGCAGACGATTCAAACCATCACTAAATGCCTTCTTAGACTCTTCAGCTCTATCCTCTGCTATGGTCCATCTGGGTCCCTTGCCTCTAGCAGCCATGCTTGCAGATACACACAGACAGACCCACACACATATACACAGACACAAACACAGAGAGACACACACAGTAACACACAGACACACAAAGGCACAGACAGACACACACAGGCACTGACACACACACAAACACACACACAGACATACACACACAGACACAGACACAGACAGACAGACAGACAGACAGTACTTCCCAACCTTGAAGCCCTGGGCCAAGCCATCAAAGGGAAGATAGTCTTACCCTTCACTGCCTATCTTACCACACCCATGGCTGCCATTCCCCACCACCACCCCACCCCCGGAGGCAAGGCTCACCTAAATGTGCGGAAAATGACGCCTCTGTAATGTTCCTTCTCATCTTCATGGAGGAGCTGAAAGGCCACCAGGAGACTGTAATCCAGAATGTTCAGGTCCCGCAGGAAGGCTATGTCCAGGCCTATCTGGTGGAGGAACCATTTCCGCTGGGGTCCTGTAAGAACACCAGACCCCACCAGGATTTGAGTCCTTGGCTGCTAAGAATTTAGGCAAATAGGACCCCTCTCTTCCAAACCTCACCCTGGATGGAGGAATAGACAGTGACTGCCTGTGACTCACCTAATTTCATGGTCTTTCCCTGAAAGTTGAGGTCCTTTAGCACCAAGAGAATGGGGCTGCCCTCAGGGGCTGGCTCCACCCAGCGGCTTAGCTTGCAGCCCTTGATGTCATACCTGTGAGGTGGGGCACACACAAGAGTCACTGGAAGCTTCCCAGATGTGATTGTTCCTATATCAACTAAATCACTGTGGATTCACCTTCAACCTCAGAGCCCTTAAGACTGTGCCCCCATATTACAGATGGAGAAACAGAGACACAAGCATTAACTTGCCTGTGTCACAGGGTAAGCAAAGACACAGAACAAGGATTCAAACTCAGGTCTCTACAAGCCCAACCCAGGGGCTAACATCTTGTCTGCCAGGAGAGGAGCCCCACCAGCAGGTTGGTGATGTTCTACAATTCTAGGTACATTTGTTTATTTCTTGTAGATGACTTGAAAGAATTGGTTATCTTGTCTCACCATGTGGGTCCTGGGGATTGAACTCCCATCCTCAAGCTTGGTTGCAGTTGCCTTTTCCGACTGAACCATCTCACCTGACCTGTTCTGATTCTATTAGTCTTCCTCACTTTCTCAACTATAAAATGTGGGTAGCTAACACAGTGTGGTGGCCCATGATCCCAGCACTGGGGAGGTAATGCAAGAGGACAGGAAGTAGGAGACTAATCTGGACTACCGACCCAAAGGAAGATGTAGTTCAGTGGTGAGCCTAGCATGTATAAAGCCATGAAAGCAATGTGCTCTCTTCCCAGTACTGGCCCTTCAAAAGGTGAAAGAATGCAAACAACTGTCCCCCGCCTACTGGATCTTGGGAGGCTCGGTTCTTCCTGGGTCTGCTTGGCTGTCCAGCAGGTAAGTGTCTGTGCCTCAGATTGCACCTTTCCTGTGGAGTCAGGATCCTGTATCTGCTCCGGATGGACTCACCTCTCAGAGTTGCGGCCGGCAGGGTAGAAGACGTTATTCATGATGATGAAGTACTTCTGGGGACAGGGGTGGGGAGTGAGGGAAGCGTGGATATCACCCTCCAGGAGCCCCCCACTGCTGAGCCACCTCGCCTCCGCTACACCCACCTTTTTCTCACGAGCCACCCGCAGACTGTGCACTCCTGGAAGAGGAGAAGGCAAGCAGGTGAAGGCCTCTAACTCCACGTTCCCTGCTCCAGGTCTGTGAATCCAGGTCCTGCCCCAGACTCCCCTCCCTTCTCCTGAATCTGTGTCTCAGGGACCTTAAACCTTGCCTCAGTGATATCCCCACCGATAACCCCAAACCAGCCTCCCCAGGCACTTTGTGGTTTAGGTCCTGCCCCAATGGCATACCCAGCAACCGTGCTAGCAGTGAGTGTGGGTACCGCTTCAGGTGCTGCATGTAGCGGGGCAGGTGGGCAAGCAGCACCTGCACTTCCTGGCGGCTCTGGGTCTTCAGGAAGAAGCGTTGGTCATGGCTGCAGATAGGAACCAGAGGTCACTGTCCAGGCTTGGCTGGGGCATTTCCCACCTAGTCTCTATTTTGCCCCTACTTTTGCATGAGGATGGATGTGTCTGTTCCCCACTCCCTTGTTTTACCCCACCTTCACCAGACCTGATCCTCTCTGCTTATGGATGCTATTTCTTTCCCAGGTCCGTTCCTCCAGTCCAGAACCAAGCCCCAGTCCTGCCCAACCCCTGCTGCAAGCTCACGTCAGGAAGAAGATGGCCTTGCTCTTGGAGGTGCTGAGGAATTGAAGGTAGGGGCCACTGGGGCCGAGAGTAGCCTGATAGTCGCTTTCAGTCAGGCCTAGGGATTGCCTCAGACGTGCAAAAGCTGGGCCAGCCAGGGTGCCCAGCTCGAAGCCCTGTAGGGGAGAAAGCAGCCCCAAGGGAGTCCACCCACATGGGGCCAGGGGCCAGGTGTCTGATTAGGGACAGTCAGGACCCAGCAAGATTCCAGGAACAGGCCATCACTCCCACTCACAGCTGAGGAAGGAGCCAGGGCAAAGACTTCAACCCCTTCTGGGCTTCCTACCTCTTCGTGAACCTGGGTCATGACTTCCGAGTAATCCTTCTGGGTGAGAGGTCCCTGCAGGGGTTGGTAGAGAGTTTCAGAGAAAAATCGGGGTTCCCCATCGCCTACCTGGAGAGGAGACTGTGAGTCCAGTACCTGACCTGACCCTTTCCTTTAGCAAACAAGAACCTGACAAGTCTCGTTAGCTTAAATTGGGAAGCTGTGAGCTTCTGGTTCACCCCGAGCTGGAGAACCGATGGGTGTGTGCTATCGCCCACATCTGGGTCTTCAGGACCAGGTTCTGACTTCAAGCCTGTTGCAGGCTTTCAAACACTCATGCTGGCTGTATACAGCCAGATCGCATCCCAGTAAAAGAAAATGGCCTTGAAGCCCAGTGATCCCAGGTGTCGCCTGAGAGAGCCTGACTGGAGAAGGTGACCTGAGCAGAAATCTGAAAGGGGGTGGAGAGGAGAAACAGAGTCCTCGAGGTAGGGAAAACAGCACTGGTGGCCAGAGATAGCGTAAGAGGGTTCAAGCGTCTGGAGGCCAGAAGTGCAGTGAAGTGTGTGTGGGTGAGGCTGGACAGCCAGCCCCGCAGCCAGCAGCATCTTCACGTTGGGCTCAGTCCTAGCGAACCATGGGAGATTTTCTGTCGGTAATGAGGTCAGGCTGTGTTCTAGAGAATTCCTCCAGATCTTGTAGCTGAACTGTTCATATGTGCGCGTACACACACACATACAGGCTCAACGGCATGCTGGGTTGCTGAGCTGGCAGTTGGGTGACCCTTTCTGCTGAGCCAGCATGGCCCCAGCCTGACAGGCTCCAGGGAGGATGGACAGGGCTGGGCTGTGTGGGGGTGGGGGAGCCCTTCTTAACCACTCAAGCTGGCAGGGCCTAGGGGCATCAGAAACCAGGGGTTATTGGCCCCTCCACCCATGATACAGATGGGGGCACTGAGGCCTAGAGAGATGGAGGCCCACCTGAAGCACACATCTGCCAGCTGAAGCAGGGAGTCTCTCATAGCGCCCGGACTTTCCAGCTTCCCACCCCAGAATTTCTGCTTCCTGGCACAAATCCCTGCCTCCCTCTTTTTGGTAGTGCTTTCCGATCCCCAGTGTCAAAATGTTAGAGAGATATACCCACAGCTGGGTCTCCCTCTTGGAGGTTGAGGTGCATGAGACAGAATGGGCCATTCACCGTGGGTGGGTTATCCATGGAGACCTGGGTGGCGGCCCACAGCCCTTCCTGCATCATACGAGTTATTCTGTGCAGTTCATGTCCCGGACTGATCTCAAACAGGCCAACTCGTTTCTGCTTGTCTCGGAGGCGCCAGAAGAAGCCACCTCGGTTCCCTGAAGAAACTGTCATGCTTGCAATCTCCGGGGAGAAGGACAGGGTCTGATGGGAAGAGGCACAGGAAACAAAGGGCATGTGGTATTGTCTCAGAAGGAAATGCACAGGTTCAAATCTTACTTCCACTAATTAGAAATGTTTCCCTTATCTTTCTCTGTTTCACTTTCTTCAGCCATAAAACATGGGGATGATGCTCTATCCATCTCCCCAGTTGTTGAGGGGCCACACAGCATAGCATGTGGCCCATGGTATGCAAATAGGGTGGAGATGGAGCATGCCTCCTGTAGTCAAGTCCAGTCGAGTCTGAGAGCTGCATGCCCTTAGGTCAGTGCCGGCCTTACTTTCTCCTCTGCAACACGAAAGGTCTGTCACATGTTAACTGCTACTGTTGTGTCTGAGCTGCCTTCACAGGAAGGCTTGCTAGCAGACTAGGATGCTGGGAGATTCAGTGACTTATCTGTTTCCTCCACTGTGCTGTGTTCCTCTGTGCTGAAGTCACACCCATTCCTAGTGGAGATCCATGGTGTGTGAAAAGCTGAGAGCTTGAGCTCTTAACATCCTTATGAGAGAGCTCATCCTATCACCCCAATTTTCCTGATGAGGAAACTGAGGAAAACCTCGGGATCGCGGGGGGGGGTGCAGTACGCCCACCAGATCCCTACCCCACTTCATACCATGTACAGCGGGTCCTGGTTTTCCCAGATCAGAGTCCTTCTCTAGCTGAAATGGGGGCGTGTCCGCGCCTCTGGCCAGGAGCAAGGCGGGACTTGCTCACTTACCCTTCCCTCTCTTCCCCGTCTCCGGTCCTTCCCTACCTCCCGGCGTCCAAGGCTTGGCGTGGCCGCCATCGCCCCCAGCTGCAGCTTCTCTGGCATTGGTGGTGTCCCCGAGGTCCCGATGCAGGAGTCAGGCCCCGCCTCCTCATTGCGACAGACTCCTAGTGAGGATGTCCAGTACGCGCCCCATCGCGCCTCCGAGGATGCAGCATCCTCTGGATCCTGGTCCTCCTGGCTAGGCGGAGTCGCCGGGCCTACAAGTGGGCTGGGTTGCTGGAGAAAAGACCCTGTCACGGTTGCTTTCGCTCTGCCAGTGGGGCGCTGTCGTCTGCGTGCTGGGACAACCTCTGAGTCTAAGGCATCCTCCGAACTCTGACTGGGCAGGGCCGCCGAGCCTTGGCTGGGTTGCCGGAGGGAGGCTTCTCGTCTCGCTTTCTTTCTCAACCGTGGACGCGAATTACTGGGTGTGGAGGAAGGTTGCTTAAGTTGTGTTTCTCGGGTCTTTCCAGGCATGAAATCCGCATTGACTGTCTCTTAGGTGAAGAAACTAAAAGCAGAAAAAGAAGTGACCCTCTCCAGATCGCTAGTCAGAGCATCCTTCCGTGCGACTTATGCGCCCCCTGAGGCCCACAGCGGAGCTGCCAGACACCGGAGATTTCGTGGTGAGCTAGCTAGAGATACACAGCTTCTAGTGTGGTCTTCTAAAAGCATAAATCGGTGATGTCACCCTTGTATTTTAAGTTTCCAGAGACTTCCTGTAGGCGCTATTGTGTGTATGGGTATCTTATTTGGGTTCTTGTATCTACCATCCTTCTCCACCCCAACCCCTTCCAACCCCCCAACCCTAGGTAGGAGAGAGAGGTTAGAGGGGAAAGCGGACGTAGACCTCTTTAGACCACATCCTGTTGATTAGGGTCGTTGGGTTCCTTGGGACAAGTCCAATCTTCGTAGTCAGGGTATTCCAACTTCTTGTCAACCAGGAGCACAGCCTTCTTCAGAGTGGCCCCCCTCCTCCCCTCTGGGGCTCTGGCATTTATATCCTCTCAAGAGTCCACAGAATTTCAAATATAAACTATTAGCAGGTGGCAAAGGCCACGCCCCTGCTAGTAAACAAGGCAAATCATAATCACCTGCTGTGAAGTAGCCTCTTATCCCACACCTGGGATCAAAACAAAAACATATTCACATAACATAAGTGGGTTTTTAAGGAAACCAAAACTCTCACAACTTCCCTTGGCAGTGGAACAGCATTCAAACTCCTCACCCTGGCTCAGGCCCTCTGCCCACTCCAGACTTGACTCCAAACACCCTCCTACCCTCAGCCCCAGCTACAAGCTTTCAACTCTAGGTTTACCCCTTCCTGGGCTCCCTGCGATCAGTACTGTCTGGACTTTTACTTGCCTTGATCCTTCTTGCCACCTTGCAGGGCTCTATGCATTTCCCCCCGAGTCTGGATCACATGACCTTTATTCTCATCACCCTTGACATGAGCAGAGATTGTCTTGCTCATGGATTGGTTTATTACATCAAGCCTCCTGAAATGGGAGTGCCACCAGGGCAGGAACTACATGGACCTCATTTCCTGACTCAGTGCCATGTGCTTGTCCTAGCACAGACTGGTGCTTAAGGAGAGATTGGAATGATGTGAGTAGAGGCGCAGAACTCCTTCAAGTAAGAGACCACAGTGGCTGTAGTAATTAGAGATAGTGCCTGGCGTGCAGGGGCTTGGGACAGGAGGGACACTCGAAGTGAAGATGAGAAAGCTGCTTAGATATGCTGGCTTTAAAAACTGTCTATCTTTAAAATTCTGTATATGTGTGTCTGGGTGCATATGTGTGGGGGTGCAGTGTTGTCTAGAATAGAGTGTTGGGTTCTGTGGTGCTGGGGTCACAGGTGCTGGTCACCGTGAACTCTGAACGCTGGCCCTCTGGGATAGCTGACGAGACATCTCTCCAGCCTTGTATGTATGTTCTCTTTTTCCTTTTTTTGGTGGGGGGCGGGGGACGGGAAGGGTGGTTGGTTTTGACACTCTGTGTAGCCCTGTCTGTCCTGGAATGCCCACTGTAGACCAGGGTGGCTTTGAACTCACAGAAATACCCCTGCCTGCTGAATGCTGGAATTCAAGATATGTGCCACCATGGCCAACCCGATACCTATTTTCTTTTAGATATTTATTTATTTATTTTGTGCACATTAATGATCTATCTTCATGTGCACCTGCACACCAGAAGAGGGCAGTAGAGGGTATAGATGGTTGTAAGCCACCATATGGTTGCTGGGAATTGAACTCAGGACCTCTAGAAGGGCAGCCAGTGTTCTTAACTGTGGAGCCATCTCTCTAGCTCCCTATATGTATTTCTGAGACGCCATCAGAATGAAGGAACCCAGAGTGGTAGGGAAAGCGCAGTGAGGAGGCCCTTACATTTTTAGGAAAAGAGATGGCTTTTTGTCCAAAAAAGGGGCTGGATAGGGTATGAGGAGTGAGAACGGATACAATTTGGGATTATGTGGATGAGCACTGGGGCAAGAGAGCCAGGGTGAGGGACAGGGGCTTAAGCTTCTCGAGAAGTGCCCCAGGGGTCCCAGGGGGCCCTTAAACACTAAGGGATGTCTTAGGAGCAAGAGTGCTTGCTTAGCAAGCATGAATCCCTGGGTTCAACCACATATGCTATCCCAACCTTGGAGTCCCAGTCCCAGGGAAATGGAGTCAAGAAGATCAAAAGTTCAAGGTCATCCCCAGCTACACAGTTTAATGTCAGTCTGGGCTACACAAGACCTTAAGGGGTATGCTAGGTTCCTGACTCCCCAGCTGTGACTTTTTCCCAGTCAGAACCACATCTGTGCCGGTTCCTGCTTTACCCTGTGTCTAACATAGGGATGGTGCAGAAGTACAACCTGAGGTCCCCTCTCTGCACAAACAGGCAATCTCTGAGCCTCCTCCAGCCAGTCTCCCCAAAGCAAAGATGGCAGAGAGACAAACACCAGCATGATCAACATTTATTTGTAAGTTTTCCCCAACAGGCCAGCTGGGCTTTGGTGTGGCTGCCTGGATGTGTCCCTGTGTTTCTCGGGTTTGTCAGTCTTTCCCTAGGGCTTTCTAGGTCCAGAAGCCCTCATGGAGCCCGGGCAGTGTCAGACTCGGAAGAGCTGCCTTGCAAAGGGACAGGATTTGTATAGAGAGGCGGGGAGGCTGCACACAGCGGTGGAACCTAAGTCTTTCAGCACATGACAGGAGGAAAACTGAGGAAAGAGAGAAAGACTCTGTGGGAGAGGCAGGGAGCTTTGACTCTGAGGTGGACAGAAGCCAGCAATGTTTAGCCCCTGAGCCCAGAAGGGAGTGAGCGAGGCTTCCCAATCCACCTTCCTCTCGGCTTGGAAAGGATGAACAAGAGAGAGAGGGCCCGCTTTGTCAGAGCTGAGTCGTAAGCAACCCCACATTCCAGAGAAGGCCACAGTGCAGCCAGGTGACTGTCCTGCAGGCTGTGACCTTTGGTCCCTTCCCTGGAGGAGATACGGAAAAGGCTCTGGCAGCCTCATCTGTGCTGGACCTTCACTGAACCTTCTTGGTCACCCTCTGGCTCTTCAGCATCACGTATGTGATAAACAATCCTGGAATACACAGAGCAGAAAGGATTGGGGGGATCCGGGTAAAGGCTAGGTGGCCTGGGTAAAATGACCCACGTGCAAGGTCAGGCTCCCAACCAACCACCCTGGGGGCACATCTTCCCAGACTTCATGAAGCCACACACTACTGATGGTCAGCCAACCATCACCGAGTGAATGATGCAAGATGCTCTGATGTCTTTCTGCCCTCCTGCCTGCTGATACCACTGTGCCATCATCCAGCCATGAATCACTCTCCTAAGCGACTTTACTAGAACTTGGAATACTGTAACGATGAAGACACAGTCCCCAGCCAAAGAAGCAGTTAGAGAGGCCAGGGTGAGAAAGGGGTGGGTGACTGAGGCGTGAATGGTGAAGATGAAGCTGGACAGGAAAAGGGAGACACGTCCTTAAGCTCCCAAAATCTGAAGCGCCGAGAACACCAGAGGGGTTTCTGACTATGGCCTTTAAGGAGGAACAGGAAAACCCAAGGGAGAGTTGGGGACAAGGAGCTTATAAGCAAGTGCCAGTGTGGAAGCATCCTCATGGGTGAAGGTGGCCAGCCTTCCAGACAACGTGCCCAGACCAGGAGACCTTTGGAGAATGGAAGACTTACCCACAAATAGGAGCAGCAGGAGGCCTGCAACCAATGGGATGAGGACAGCATAGGCGCGGGGCAGGAAGTACTTGTGGATGACATGCTGGCTGTCAATGAATGGCTGGCACCAAGGGCAAGAGCTCTGGTAAGTACTGCTCACCTGACCCAGCCCAAAAGGGAAGCCATCCCACTGCCTCTGTTTAAGAGGCTTGAACCCACTGACAGCACTGGGTATTGAGGACCTGCCCTGATTGCATCCCTAAGGGGTTCCCAACCTGGGCTTTGCTTGGGGTGGACATGTATTTTGACGAGAGACGCACTCTATTATCTCAGGTAGCCTGAACTACTGCCTTGGCCTTCTGAGTGCTAGAAACCATTGTTTTTGTTTTCTAGGGCAGGGTCTCACTACAAAGCCCTGGCTGACCTCACAGAGACCGACCTTCCTCTGCCTTCTGAACGCAGGAACTCTAGGTTTTTCTTAAAATTTTATTTTATGTTTCGATTATGTGTAAGTGCACACAAGTGCAGGTATACCTTCATCCAAGCCCTGGATCTCCCAGCACTTCCTAACACAACTTAAGCAGCATTGGTGTGCCAGACACTTTTGCTGGATCTCCTGGAGCTGGAGTTACAGATGGTTGTAGCTGTCCATGTGAGTGCTGGGACTTGACCTCCAGTCCTCTGGAGAAGCAGACAGTCTTCTTCAGCCTACCTAACTTTTCTCTCTAAAGGATAAAGTACTGCAAGATTCCCCTTTCCAAGCACAAAGCACTTTTAAGCAATAACTAACACATTTTCCCACACTGAAAAAAAGGGAGAAAGCCTTAAGGTGTTAATAAAATCCACTGGCCATTGCTACACCTAGGAACCAGCTGGACAGGAGGACAAACCTAAAACAGAGCCTTACAGTGTAGCACTTAAGAGGTTGAGCCAGGCAGGCACCCCAGGGAGGAGCAGCCCTGCTAGGCCACATAGGAGGACTTTGCAGCCAGTCCTGAAGATACCTGATAAACCAGGATCAGATGAAAGGGGAGGAGGTCCTCCCCAATCAGTGGACTTGGAAAGGGGCAGGGAGGAGATGAGGGTGGGATTGGGAGGAAAAGAGGCAGCAGGATACAACTGGGATACAAAGTTAACAAACTGTGACCAATATTAAAAAAAATAATAATAATAAATTGTATAAATTAAAAAAAATAATAAAAGAGGTTGAGCCATATCCTTCTCCGTGGGTCTCAGGCTCCTCGTCTATAAAATACAGACACCGTCAGCAATCAGAGTGGAGATTTCGTGAAATTAGGGCTGGTCAAGCACCTAGCTCAGTGCCTGGCACGCAGACGCTGCTTAAGTCGGTTAGGAATTGGCTTGGAGATCCAGAACAGGATGAAGGTGAGCAAGGTAGGGTGGGGGTTGGGCGCACATACCAAAAGAATCACCCAAGTGGTGTAGTAGGTGAAGATGATCAGGCTAACGGCGACGAGGCCAAATCCCACCGCTTGGTCTGTGCCGGTGGCCTAGAGAAAAAGGGAGACTCAGCTGGCGAGATGACTGAACCTGGAAGTGCACTAATGGAGGCTCGGCGCAGCGGGTTTACACTCTGAGCTTCTCCTTCATTCAAACAGCCGCACACGAGGGTAGGAGGTAGTGCTGGCTGACTAGAAGTGGCTCTCCGGCTTAGAAAGCTGTGTCAGGCCTCGTGTACCGGCCGCAAGCGGTCAGGAGAACAACACGAGTTCGGAGAGCCCAACCCCATCTCCCAGGGAGTCTCCGACTCTGGGCCAGACCCATGGTACCCCCAAATCACCGTGGTACCGCAGAACAGGCTCACCATTTCCCGTGTTTCGCCGGAGCAACAAGACACATCCGGTTTCTGATTCAGGCTTTTCCGGCCTGTAAGTCCCTTGGAACTCGGGGAGTTGTAGTCCCTTGATCGACCTAGACCGGACGTGCCAGCACGTTTCCCCGCCCTCCTTTGCATGTCGGGAAATGTAGTTTCTGAAGGGAACTGTGGGGCTGGGAACTCAAGATTTCCTGGTCTTTGTGGCTACAACCCCGTCAGACCCTCCCCAGTCAATAATCCTCCTTTAACCAGCAGTCTCAAGCCAGAGTGAAATGAACCCCAGTTGGAAGGTCCTTTTTGTCACGTGGGAACTGAGGCCCAGAGAGGGACAGATCTTAATCTGAGTCAGTGGGAAGCAGGCTCTATTTCCTGGCCCTGAAATTGTTGGTGGAAGAGGCAGTGTAGAATGATCACCACTAGCCTGGGAGCGGTGGGGTCAGGCAAGGCGGGAGAGAAGACAATTTCCACTGGCAGAAAGTTGACTGGCTTCCTAAAGGTGGCCTTCTAGGCCTACCTCCACTGCCCACTTCTAGGTCCCGACTAGCACAGGCAGTCAGAACGGCCCTGTGTATCTGCCCCTTTCCCCTTAGCACCAAGGGAGTTGGGCTAAATTATCTTCGATGCTTTTCCTCTGAGTTTCTGAACACCTGAAACACTATACTCACACAGCATGTGGATATGGGGCTGACTGCTGCCAATCCGGTCTCCAGATGATATTTCTGGAGCAACCTAGGTTGCTGCTGCCTGTAGTTGCTAACCAGTTTCTTCGGTGACTAGTACCCCAAGCCCAGAGAGAGCGGCAGGAGCTTCGACTGGAACAACCAGTGTTAAGATTCCCTAATTTGTGCTGGGCATGGTGGAGCACGTCTGTCAACACTCTGGAGGCATGAGGATCAGGTCTTAAACCACAGGGTTTAAAAGAAACCTTGTAACTATAAAAATAACATAATAATAATAATAAAAATTCCTTCCCCCAACCAGAATGAGACACTATCTCAAACAAAAAGATGTGCAGGCCAGTGAAATGGATTAGCAGATAAAGTTCTCTGACCTTTGCCAAGTGCCCATTCCTCACAAACAGAACTGAAAATGTAATTTAAAAAAAAAAAAATA